CCCACCTCCACCCCGTCAAGACCCCCCACCCCAGCCTAACCATCCCACCTCCACCTAGTCAAGACATTACACCCACATACATTTCAGATCTTTATAATGTCCTTCACCACAACATCAGTCTATTCACTCACTCTTTAGAGGTTGTCCTGGAAACCAGCTCTCTCTTCTCTCTTTCTCTTCCCTGTCTCCTTGCCTGGGTACCAGTCTCTTTAGCATACATTCCATTCCTTGTACTCCGTGTCATATTCCAAAGCATGACAGGAGTGGCAAGGAGTGGAATGATAGCCAGAGACGGTTACCCAGACTACCTTTCTCTCCCTTTCATTCTCCTTCATTCAGTTTGCTCAGTTGTTGTTTTTAATTCCATGACAAGCTCCTTTCTCGATTCAGTTCTGTTTTGAAGTGAGGTATATTTTTGTAATTCTTTATTTATGGTGAAGTAGAGGATAATAGCGTACTGTGAGATGCTCGCAAACAACAAACTGTGTGTGGTTACTAGGATGACAGGGAAACATTGTATACTGTGCTTTACTCCCCTGTGAAAAGGTTAGTGTGTTAATATGTAAAAAAATACCTGAAATGGCACAATGTTACCTAAATAATGAACTAGTTTTGGCCACAGCCCATTTGAGTAGAGCTCTACATAGTGAATAGTGTGCCATTTTGGACAAAGCCTGTTCAATCAAATGGAAAAATACACCTTTTTTGAGGATCAATTGTATATAACCCCTATTCATATGTTATGTTATGCGCATATGGTAGAGTACATATTAGACCTGTACTATGTAATCTATCATATCTGCATATGTAATATGTGTTGATAGATTTTAACAGGGGTATATGACAATGTATTTCTCGGTGTTTCATTGTCTTTGGTTTTAGAGGGCATTTACAAAAAAAGGCTGTTTCCTTTTGATATTCTTGAATGTGATCTGTCCAAGGATTGAAGGTACGTGAATAAAATGTGAGGGGGAAAAAGAGAGCATTGTTTTCTGACCTGGCTGTAATGTGGTAGTATAACGAGGCCCCAACCAACACACACAGTTCTGTGAGATGCGCTGTGGAGGACACCACTCCACCACTTTACCACTTTACCCCAGACAACACTGCCACCTGCCCAAAAACATGTCCGCTGCCCAGACCCTTGTCATTGCCAGTCCCTGGAGACCCCACACCAGAGCCCTCTCCAAAACACTGGCGCCACACACACACACACACACACGGCAGGTGGGGTCAGCTGATTTTGACATTGACAGGGCCCAGCTGGTTGGGCCCCTGAATGGGACTGCTCTGTCTGTGTGAGTGTGTGTGTCGAGGCTCGCAGTCTTTATAGTTAGCCTAACCACTCTACCACAGTCGACTCCTACAGGCCTATGTTTAACTACTAAAGTCAGACCATAGCTGTTTTTTGGTTGGTTCAGGCCTGCTGCACATAGTTGTGGGGGCGTTACATCTGCTACAGGGGAGAGAGCACTGGCCATAAAACACTGACATCCAGCTGTGTGCGTGCATGCATCTGAGAGAGAGATGCATTCTGAGGGCCTGTGGCTGTGGGATTATAAAATGTCTGCTCTTACAAAGACTCATTGTGAAACCCTCTTCTTCCTCTCGATTCCTACATGAGCCACGGGCACTGTCTGATTACAAATGCTGCTAACTGTATGTGGCTTTGGATCAAAGTGTGTGATAAATTAGATCTTTATTGTCTGCTTGGACGTTAATCAACGTGTTGTGTTCTTTAGATCTCTGGGCACAGACAGAGAGGCTATGTCCCAAATGCCACCCTATTTCCAACCCTATGGGTCCTGGTCAAAAGTAGTACACTACATAGGGAATAGGGTGCCATTTGGGCGCAAGCCTAAATCGCACGGCTAAATCTCTTTAAGGCCTGTTATCTTCTACACAAGTCTGTTTGAAAGCTCTGAATGAGAGAACACACATTTCTGTGGTTGTTTTATCTGTGCGTAGAAGTCGTGTGTGGGTGATGTGAGGAGCCAGACGGGGGAGTGTGATGCCTATCTTTGAGGTGACAGGATTGCTGCCTTTTTCTCCTCATGAATCAGACAGCTGTACTACAGCTGTGTGTGTTTTAGAGAAAGAGAGAGAAACCAACCACTCAAATCCCAAACCACCACACGTCATACTGGCCCCTTTGTCTTAAACTAACTACGACGACAGATGAGACAGGAAACAGATTTCATATCCCACCAACAGATAGGAAAGAGGTGGGCGTTGCACAGAAGGTGGAGAAAAGGTGAATGCATAATAAGAATGTGCATCACTTTAAAGTGTGTGAAGATAAATCAAACCATACACTCTCATTCTTTAGTGGTAATGGAGTCTTGTGAGTGAAGATGTGGGAAAGAAAATGGACACCTGCCTCCTGGGCTGCACCACCTCCTGTGCTTTTTGCTTCCTTTGTGTTTTTGGTATGTTTTAAATTGCATGGTTTGGGAATGTGTTTCCAGGCCAGAGGCCACCCTGAAAAGGTGAACTTGTGAAACCATGCCTTCATTTAATAAATGTTTGAAAACCGGTCCTTTTGTTGACTACCTCTACTTCAGCACATATCAGTCATGTGATACTGCTTGTTGGCCGGGGTCGGCCTGAGTTCCGCACTGGGCTGCAGATGATCTGATCTACAAATCACCTCACCATCCAAACCCATCAACTAGCTCTGGTCCAGGGCATTAAGTGCAGCTTGCTAAAACTGAGCTCAGCGTTAGCAAGCCACACTAACACCCCAGAGCTAGGTTTCGACATGCTGATGTGGAGAATAGTGAACCTGCACATGACCTAGCTAGGGCTATGGGTTTAAAGAAACGTATTAGTCAAGCCAAACCTTGACGACGAGCAGATAGTAATGTAATATTGTCACAGATACACAAACCAACACCAACAAACCCACCCTGATAGACATCTATTCCTCTCTCTCTCTTAGACGTGCTGCCACGGCAATAAAAACCTAGTGACATACTACTGTTGTTAGTATGTAGTTCTGTTGGTGGGAGCAGTGGGAGGATCCCAGTTAATCTTTGACTCATTTCTCTAGTTAACAGATGACTGTGTGTGTGAGCTGTAGGGGTGAGGGGTGCGGACAGCGAACACAAGACTCTGACCCAGATTCAGTCACCCGGCCCTCGACAGACCAACCTTGCCTCGGAGATCAGCTGACTTCTCTGACGGAGTGTCTGTTTAGTAGAGCTTTCTCCTCAAGGTCTTACCAACATCCCCAACCCGGACTCCACAGAGACAGAGCAGAACAACTTTCTCCAGAGTGGGAGATTGAGCGAACGAGGGGGAGGGATAGGCTCCCACCCCTGACTCTTCACCACAGAGAAAGAGCAGGACAACTTTATTGACTGTGTTTGTCTCCCACCCCTCACCACAGGGTCTTACTCTCAGACAAACACCCAGTAAATGACAGGCTTAGTTGGATGTCTTACCAAATGGGTGTTGGTTGTATTCTTATGCTGGTCTCCCTTCAACCCACTACATGATGACATTTAGTTCAGTTATGTATTAGTAAGTAAAAAGTTGACGGATATGAATACAAAGGCTGAATGGGCGAGAGAGAGAGAGAGAAAAAGAAGCCTCCTGATGACAAGAAATGGAGAACAATTAAATTCATTGATTTATTTGGAACCCTCCTCCAAATGACATGTTCTTTATTTTTCATTTCACAAAATATTTACAAAAAGATAGTTTTCCATGTTTTTTTTTCTATTGGTCGACTGTTCTTGTAACAATGGTTCCTTTTCAGCGTTTTTGACCAATGCTTACATCAGGCAGTCCAGTTTCTCTTTAGAAAAAGTTCATGAAAAAACCCTCACCCAGTACTTTCACTCATCCTTTTTAAAACTGTTACCGATTATTTTTCATTTGTCTTTTATTTATTTATTCCAGAGTGCGTTATAAAACTCTTCTCCGCATGCTTACAGCCGCAAACAGGAAGCCAAGAGCTTGTGTGCTTGTTGAAAGGAAGTGACATCACCCTGCAGGAAGTACATCATTAACGCATTGTCACAGTCACACTCCCGGATGCTCGAGTTGATTTGTTTGGTCTGTCCAGTCCAGCCCAGGCCATGTAGTGGCTCGCAGAGCCTCCGTCGTGTCTACCAGTCCAACTGGCTTAAAGACAAACATGAAACCTGCTCATATGGTCTTATGACAAATGATTAATATGGCAATAACTCACGTGTCATGATCCGTATATTAATAACTAGAAAATAAAGGAGTCTCAGTCTTTCAGACGGAAAAATTCAATCCGATGGGAATCCTGACAGCAGGAGGAAAGGGGTTCGGATCCCCTTTACAGTGGGATGGGCACAGAGAACATGAATAGAGAAGGTCCATAATGGAGGAGGCTTACAGTTGCCCCTACATCCTGAACTAGGGTCAGTCTCTGCCATTTTACTCTTTGATGTTTAAGGTTAGGATTGGGGGGGGGGGGGGGTAAGCTGATCCTAGACCTGTGTCTACAGGGCAACTTCAACACAGAGAGAAATCCCAACACCCCCAAAGTGCATGGAGGGGGGTCCCCACACACACAGAAGAGAACCTGGAAGCGTGAGTGTGTGTGTCCAAGCTGTACAGTCCCTGAACTCAGAGAGGAGACAAAAGTGCCGCAACAGAAGCAATAAACCATCCTTCTCTTCACCCCATGTCCAACAGACAGAAAATAATAATGATAACATTAATAACAATAATAATAATAATAATAATATTATAAGGCTAATCGATCTCACTACGACAGGGAGGGAGATGTCGCTAAAACATTTTACTTGAGCCGAAGTGCTTCAGCGTCAACAGTTGCTGCACAAACACATAAATCATCATCATACAGTAACACTGTGTCTGTCTGACGGAGAAAACATAGAAAACGAATATATCAACCCTGCCCCCGAGTGTGGTGTGTGTGGTGTGGGTAAACGTGTCTATGAGTCCGTATAACCGGCAGAAGGGTATGTCTGTGTGTGTACCGGTATACATGTTCTGCATGTGTGTGTGTGTGTGTGTCTGTAAGTGCATCTACATGAGTATGTGTGTGTATGTTAACTAGTAGCGTAATGCTAACTGGGGAGCTGTTTGCTTGTAGAAATGTGTGTGTTAACTGGTGACATAGTGCTTGGTGGAGGGCTGTCCATACAGCCCATAGAAGTCTGTGTGTCGGTGCGTCTGCTGTGCGTCTATCCAGTCTCTGACAGCAAGCCCTTGCATGGCTGGAGCTCCAGAGGCTAGGCCGGGGGGATGGGGGTAGTCCTGGGCGCTTACCCAGGGAAAGGAGCCTGAACGTGGGTAGGGCGGGTGGCCGCGGTGCCCCGACACGGAGGGTACCCCAGAGCAGTAGCAGTTATCCATGGTACACACCAGGATCTTACGCCCGCCATACTGGGGGAGCACAGCCTGCTGGGAAGAATGGGAGGAGCTACCGCCAGCAGGGGTGAAGTGGGAGGGACTGAACACAGACCCTGAATGGTGATTGGTCAGAGAGCCGCTTCCACTTCCTGTTCCGCTACCTTCGCTCATGTGGGAGGGGCCACAGGACCCCAGAGGCTGCTGATTGGAGGATTGGCCCTCTCCGGGGGCGGAGTTTGGGCCCAGGTAGGGCTGCTTAGAGGAGGAAGAGGAGGAGTCCTTGAACCCGGAAGCAGTGTTTTTCCCGGCGCTCCCGTTGCCTTCTGGGAACGCCGAGGAGTATTTGCGTTTCTCTGCCCCCGAGCCGAGGCCGCTGGGAGACGCCGGGACGGACTGGAGGAATGAGGAGGGAGGGTTTAGGGGGGCTGGAGGGGGCAAGAGAGGTAGAGAAAGGGAGGGAGGAGGGAAGAGAAGAATTGATCCACTAAATCAAATCAGATAAGGGTGTGATGGTTCTGTAAAGATGATGCTCTCAATCCTACCTTCCAATGTTTTCCGTAGGCTCTTCTCTCTCTTGGAGAGTTCTGACAGGAACAGCTTAGAGTTGAGACTTCCCACCTTGTAGGGAGGGAGCGCACTGCCCACGCACGCTTGAGACCTGCAACACACAAATATGTACAGTGGTTTGCAAAAGTATTCACCCCCCCTTGGCATTTTTCCTATTTTCCATTTTTCCTTACAACCTGGAATTAAAATAGATTTTTGAGGGGTTTGTATCATTTGATTTACACAACATGCCTACCACTTTGAAGATGCAAAATATTTTTTATTGTGAAACAAACAAGAAATAAGACAACAAAACAGAAAGCTTGAGCGTGCATAACTATTCACCCCCCAAAGTAAACACTTTGTAGAGCCTCCTTTTGCAGCAATTACAGCTGCAAGTCTCTTGGGGTATGTCTCTATAAGCTTGGCACATCTAGCCACTGGGATTTATGCCCATTCTTCAAGGCAAAACTGCTCCAGCTCCTTCAAGTTGGATGGGTTCCGCTGGTGTACAGCAATCTTGAAGTCATACCACAGATTCTCAATTGGATTGAGGTCTGGGCTTTGACTAGGCCATTCCAAGACATTTAAATGTTTCCCCTTAAACCACTCGAGTGTTGCTTTAGCAGTATGCTTAGGGTCATTGTCCTGCTGGAAGGTGAACCTCCGTCCCAAATCTCTGGAAGATTGAAAAAGGTTTCCCTCAAGAATTTTCCTGTATTTAGCGCCATCCATCATTCCAGACTAATTTCCCAGTCTCTGCCGATGAAAAACATCCCCATAGCACGATGCTGCCACCACCATGCTTCACTGTGGGGATGATGTTCTCGGGGTGATGAGAGGTGTTGGGTTTGCGCAGACATAGCGTTTACTTTGATGGCCAAAAAGCTCAATTTTAGTCTCATCTGACCAGAGTACCTTCTTCCATATGTTTGGGGAGTCTCACACATGCCTTTTGGCGAACACCAAACGTGTTTGCTTATTTTTTCTTTAAGCAATTGCTTTTTTCTGGCCACTCTTCCGTAAAGCCCAGCTCTGTGGAGTGTACGGCTTAAAGTGGGCCTATGGACAGATACTCCAATCTCAGCTGTGGAGCTTTGCAGCTCCTTCAGGGTTATCTTTGGTCTCTTTGTTGCCTCTCTGATTAATGCCCTCCTTGCCTGGTCCGAGAGTTTTGGTGGGCTGCCCTCTCCTGCCATTTTTTTATAATGGATTTAATGGTGCTCTGTGGGATGTTCAAAGTTTCAGATATTTTTTTATAACCCAACCCTGATCTGTGCTTCTCCACAACTTTGTCCCTGACCTGTTTGGAGAGCTCCTTGGTCTTCATGGTGCCGCTTGCTTGGTGGTGCCCCTTGCTTAGTGGTGTTGCAGACTCTGGGGCCTTTCAGAACAGGTGTATATATACTGAGATCATGAGACACTTAAATAAAGTACACCTGTGTGCAATCTAACTAATTATGTGACTTCTGAAGGTAATTGGTTGCACCAGATCTTATTTAGGGGCTTCATAGCAAAGGGGGTGAATACATATGCACGCACCACTTTTCCGTTATTTATTTGTTAGAATTTTTTGAAACAAAGTAATTTTTTTCATTTCACTTCACCAATTTGGACTATTTTGTCTATGTACATTACATGAAATCCAAATAAAAATCATTTAAATTACAGGTTGTAATGCAACAAAATAGGAAAAAATGCCAAGGGGGATGAATACTTTTGCAAGGCACTGTATGTAACAAGCCTGGTATCTTAACGTTCCATTAAAAGTATAATTGTGGCTATATACAGGGTGTACCGGTACCGAGTCAATGTGTGGATGCACCGGTTAGTCGAGGTAATATGTACATGTTGATAGAGTTATTAAACTGACTATGCATAGATCATAGTCTGGGTAGCAATTTGATTAGCTGTTCAGGAGGCTTATGGCTTGGGGGTAGAAGCTGTTTAGAAGCCTCTTGGACCTAGACTTGGCGCGCCGGTACCGCTTACCATGCGGTAGCAGAGAGAATAGACTATGACTAGGGTGGCTGGAGTCTGACAACTTTTAGGGTCTTCCTCTGACACCACCTGGTATAGAGGTCCTGGATGGCATGAAGCCTGGCCCCAGTGATGTACTGGGACGTACGCACTACACTCTTTAGTGCCTTGCGGTCGGAGGCCGAGCAGTTTCCATAACAGGCAGTGATGCAACCAGTCAGGATGCTCTCAATGGTGCAGCTGTAGAACCTTTTGAGGATCTGAGGACCCATGCCAAATATTTTCAGTCTTCTTAGGGGGAATAGGTTTTGTCGTGCCCTCTTCACGACGGTCTTGGTGTGCCTGGACCATGTTAGTTTGTTGGTGATGTGGACACCAAGGAACTTGAAGCGCTCAACCTGCTCCACTACAGCCCCGTCGATGAGAATGGGGGCGAGCTCGGTCCTCTTCTTTTTCCTGTAGTCCACAATCATCTCCTTTGTCTTGATCAAGTTGAGGGAGAGGTTGTTGTCCAGGCACCACACGGCCAGGTCTCTGACCTACTCCCTATAGGCTGTCTCGTCATTGTCAGTGATCAGGCCTACCACTGTTGTGTCATCGGCAAACTTGATGGTGTTGGACTCGTGCCTGGCCATGCAGTCATGACTGAACAGGGAGTACAGGAGGTGACTGAGCACGCACCCGAGGGGCCCCTGTGTTGAGGATCAGCGTGGCAGATGTGTTGTTACCTACCCTTACCACCTGGGGGCGGTGATAAGAATCCAGTTGCAGAGGGAGGTGTTTAGTCCCAGGGTCCTTAGCTTAGTGATGAGCTTTGAGGGCACTATGGTGTTGAACGCTGAGCTGTAGTCAATGAATAGCATTCTCACATATGTGTTCCTTTTGTCCAGGTGTGAAAGGGATGTGTGGAGCGCAATAGAGATTGCATCATCTGTGGATCTGTTGGGGTGGTATGCAAATTGGAGTGGGTCTAGGGTTTCTGGGATAATGGTGTTGATGTGAGCCATGACCAGCCTTTCAGAGCACTTCATGGCTACAGACGTGAGTGCTACGGGTCGGTAGTCATTTAGGCAGGTTACCTTAGTGTTCTTGGGCACAGGGACTATGGTGGACTGCTTGAAACATGTTGGTATTACAGACTCAGACAGGGACAGGTTGAAAATGTATGTGAAGACACTTGCCAGTTGGTCAGCGCATGCTCGGAGTACACGTCCTGGTAATCCGTCTGGCCCTGCGGCCTTGTGAATGTTGACCTGTTTAAAGTTCTTACTCACATCGGCTACGGAGAGCAAGATCACACAGTTGTCCGGAACAGCTGGTGCTCTCATGTATGGTTCAGTGTTACTTGCCTTGAAGCGAGCATAGAAGTAATTTAGCTTGTTTAGTAGGCTCGTGTCACTGGTCAACTTGCGGCTGTTCTTCCCTTTGTGGTCTGTAATAGTTTGCAAGCCTGCCACATCCGACGAGCATCGGAGCCGGTTTAGTATGACTCGATCTTAGTCCTGTATTGATGCTTTGCCTGTTTGATGGTTCGTCGGAGGGCATAGCAGGATTTCTTATAAGCGTCCGGGTTAGAGTCCCGCTCCTTGAAGGCGGCTGCTCTACCCTTTAGCTCAGTGCGGATGTTGCCTGTAATCCATGGCTTCTGGTTGGGGTATGTAGGTACAGTCACTGTGGGGACGATGTCATCGATGCACTTATTGATGAAGCCAGTGACTGATGTGGTGTACTCCTCAATGCCATCGGAAAGAATCCCGGAACATATTCCAGTCTGTGCTAGCAAAACAGTCCTGTAGCTTAGCATCTGCGTCATCTGACCGCTTTAGTTTTTGCTTCTAAGCAGGAATCAGGAGGATAGAATTATCGTCAGATTTGCCAAATGGAGGGCTTGGGAGAGCTTTGTACGTGTCTCTGTGTGGAGTAAAGGTGGTCTACAGTTTTTTTCCCCTCTGGTTGCACATTTAACATGCTGGTAGAAATGAGGTAAAACGGATTTAAGTTTCCCTGGATTAAAGTCCCCGGCCACTAGGAGTGCCGCCCCTGGATGAGCGTTTTCCTGTTTGCTTATGGCCGTATACAGCTCATTGAGAGCGGTCTTAGTGCCAGCGTCAGTTTGTGGTGGTAAATAGACAGCTACGAAGAATATAGATAAACTCTCTTGGTAGATAGTGTGGTCTACAGCTTATCATGAGATACTCTACCTCAGGCAAGCAAAACCTTGAGACTTCCTTAGATATCGTGCACCAGCTGTTGTTTACAAATATACATAGACCGCCACCCCTCGCCTTACCAGAGGCTGCTGTTCTATCCTGCCGATACAGTGTATAACCCGCCAGCTGTATGTGTGTAACAGGCATGACCATTCTAAAATGGTAATGTGCGTAATACGCCTTGTGTAATCTCCTTTTTGTATCTCTAATAACTTTTGTATAACATGGCCCTGGTCTCTGACCTCTCCATGAGGATCTTGACAGGCTTGGTGTTCTTCATGAAGCCCAGCTCCTCAGCTTTGCCAAAGGCTGTGTGGACTGAGCTGAGCAGCTTCTGGGCCTCATGTCTCTGTTCTCCCAGAGCTAGAACCTGGCCCGCATTCTCCTGGCAGAACCTAGAACGGGCCCGCTCTAGAACCTCCAGCGTACGGGACAGGTCTTCTTCCAAGAAGTGCTGCATCCGCTGGTACTGCACACGCACCTCCTCTTTCAGCTCACACACCCGGTCCTGTAGGAGAGAACACATACTGTTATACACACATCATTATATCTTACTTTAATAGGATCTCTATGGTTATATACTGAACCAAAATATAAAACGCAACATGTAAAGTGTTGGTCCCATGTTTCATGAGCTGAAATAAAAGATCCGGACATTTTCCATACGCACAAAAAGCTTATTTAGCTCAAATTTGTTTACATCCCTGTTAGTGAGCAATTCTCATTTGGCAAGATAATGCATCCACCTGACAGGTGTGGCATATCAAGAAGCTGATTGAACAGCATGATCATTACACAGGTGCACCTTTTGCTGGGGCCAATAAAATGTGCAGTTTTGTCACAACACAAAGCCACATATTTCTGAAGTTTTGAGGGAGTGTGCAATTGGCATGCTGACTGCTGGAATGTCCACTAGAGCTGTTGCCAGAGAATTGAATGTTCATTTCTCTACCATAAGCCGCCTCCAACGTCGTTTTACAGAGTTTGGCAGTACATCCAAACGGCCTCACAACCGCAGACCACGTGTTACCATGCCAGCCCAGGACCTTCACATCTGGCTTCTTCACCTCCGGGATTGTCTGACACCAGCTACCCGGTCAGCTGATGAAACTGAGGAGTATTTCTGTCTGTGTGGAAAAACTCGTTCTGACTGGCTGGGCCTGGCTCCCCAGTGGCTGGGCCTGTCTCCCAAGTGGGTGGGACTATGCCCTCCCAGGCCTACCCATGGCTGCACCACTGCCCAGTCATGTGAAATCCATAGATTAGGCCCTAATGAATTTATTTCAATTTACTGATTTCCTTATATGAACTGTAACTCAGTAAAATCATGGAAATTGTTGCATGTTGTGTTTATATTTGTGTTCGGGTAGTAGAGCATGGCACTTGCAATGCCAGGGTTGTGGGTTCGATTCCCACTCACTCTGGATAAGAGTGTCTGCTAAATGACTAAAATGTAAATGGATGTGCATGGGTGTGTGTGCGGATGGGTGTGTGTGCGGATGGGTGTGTGTGCGGCCTGTGTTCACTGGTTGAGGGAGTGCATGTGAGATATACACTTACTGGCCAGTTTATTAGGTACACCACCCCGTTCACGAAAACGGATTGATCCTACAGTGAGTCACGTGGCCTTGGCTTGCTATATAAAGCAGGCAAATGGGCATCGAGGCATTTAGTGACTGTTCGATTGAATGTGTGAATGGCCAAAACAAATGACCTAAGCGACTTCGTGCATGGTATGATCGTCGGTGCCAGGCGCGCTGCACTCCTATCAGCTAAAGACAAGAAGAAGCGGCTCCAGTGGGAACACGATCGCCAACACTGGACAACTGAGGAGTGGAAAACATCGCCTGGTCCAACGAATCCCGGTTCCTGTTGCGTCATGCTGATGGCAGAGTCCATGGCCGCATCCTGCCTGGTGTCAACGGGACAGGCTGGTGGCCATGGTGTACATTTTTCCTGGCACACATTAGGTCCCTTGATACGAATCGAGCAACAATTCAAAGCCCGAAGAATTCAGGCTGTTCTGGAGGCAAAGGGGGACCGACCCGGTACTAGATGGGTGTACCTATAAACTGACAGAGAGTTTGAGAAATCAGACGTACCTCCACCACACACTTGTCAGAGTCCAGTTTACAGAGCTGCTCATCGATGTCCTGAACTCTCTCCTCCACCCTCTCCTGCTGCCGCAATAGATTTTGCTATGGAAAGGGGAGAAGGGGGAGGGAGAGAGAGACGAGACAGAGAGAGAAAGTGGGAGAGAATGAGAAATGGTAAGTTCATAGTTTCGAACAAACCAATATGACGAGTGAAGACAACCTCCACCAGCCCGCTATCAAGCCTCCAGCAGGCGGAGCCAGCTAATCTAGATCTAACAAACACGCCTTCTGAGGGGAGGAAGGAAGGGAGGGAGGGGGCTGTCATGGCAACCTAGAGATATTTTCTGGTTGCATGTGAGTGAGGTATGAAGGATGAACTGGGGGGAGTTAGGGATGGGCATTTGAAATAATTTCACTATTCGAATAATATCATTTTTTTGGTAACTTTGTTTCAACTTGGGACACCCGTTTGCTGTGCAGCCTGCGCGACACGGAGAGAGGGTGCACACTGCAGCAGAGCGGGGTATGGGCAGGGGCCGGTGGTGTGTGTTGACATGGGAGGGAGAGAGAGAATAAGTAGCCACTGACTCATGCTAGTTAGACAAACGTATAAATGCCATAGGTTATCTACCATCCCATTTGCAAGCAGTATACCACCCTGCATCCCACTGCTGGCTTACCTCTGAAGCTAAGCATGGTTGGTCCTGGTTGGGAGACCAGGTGCTGCTGGAAGTGGTGTTGGAGGGGGCCAGTAGGAGGCAATCTTTCCTCTGGTCTAAAAAAAAGATCCCAATTCCCCAGGACAGTGATTGGGGACATTGCCCTGTGTGGGGTGCAGTCTTTCGGATGGGACGTTAAACGGGTGTCCTGACTCTCTGTGGAGCCCATGGCACTGATTGTAAGAATAGGGGTGTTGAGCCCAGTGTCCTGGCTAAATTCCCAATCCGGCCCTCATGCCATCGTGGCCACCTAATCATCCCCAGCTTCCAATTGGCTCATTCATTCATCCCCCCTCCTCTTCCCTGTAAGTATTCTCCAGGTCCTTGCTGTAATTGAGAATGTGTTCAGTCAACTACTTGGTAAAATAAGGGTTAAAAAAATCTGCAATTGGCTGTCTTTACTGTATCAAATCGATGTAAAGAAGCTATCTAAGATAGCCAGACGTTAACTAGCTAGCTAGGCTAGTTGAGGATATGTTTCTGCACTCCCTGTCCTTGTCTACAACAACTGCATTCAGATTAAACAACAGACTACCTGTCGGTTGCTCGTTGTAGCCTACTTAGCTAACTTAATTCCGTCATTTTAATTATATTTTGCATTGATTTCAGATCTCCCACTTCACGTTGGCGCAGATGGAGCCTCTGACTGTAGTGCCAACAACAACAACAAGCTACACGTGAACCTGTGTAGGTTACACAGCCTTTACATGGGGCACACTTCATTACATTTACATTTTAGTCATTTAGCAGACGCTCTTATCCAGAGCGACTTAAAGTGAGTGCATTCATGTTTTTTTGTTTTTTGTTTTTTTCATACTGGCCCCCCGTGGGAATCGAACCCACAACCCTGGCGTTGCAAGCGCCATGCTCTACCAACTGAGCTACATTCAAAAGTTTGTTGGTTTATTAAATTAAGAATTTCAGATGTCATGGTATATCCTTGTGTGTAGCAATGTCACATAGATGATTTCAATTGAGACAAAGCCTTTTCATTGTTAAAATAGGCCAATTATTTTTTTTCCCATCAAAAAATAAATACTCTGGCAAGTATTCGAATACTAACGTCCGTTCGGATATTCGAATAACCGAGCCCATCCCTAGGGGGAGAGAAAAGCGAGTGGGGGAGAGATCTTTCTACTCTTCCTTTCTCCTGCTGCTCCTCTCTCTCTACCGCAATCCTCTCTCTCTACCGCAAGCCTCTCTCTCTACCGCAATCCTCTCTCTCTACCGCAAGCCTCTCTCTCTACCGCAAGCCTCTCTCTCTACCGCAAGCCTCTCTCTCTACCGCAAGCCTCTCTCTCTACCGCAATCCTCTCTCTCTACCGCAATCCTCTCTCTCTACCGCAATCCTCTCTCTCTACCGCAATCCTCTCTCTCTACCGCAATCCTCTCTCTCTACCGCAAGCCTCTCTCTCTACCGCAATCCTCTCTCTCTACCGCAAGCCTCTCTCTCTACCGCAAGCCTCTCTCTACCGCAAGCCTCTCTCTCTACCGCAAGCCTCTCTCTCTACCGCAATCCTCTCTCTCTACCGCAATCCTCTCTCTCTACCGCAATCCTCTCTCTCTACCGCAAGCCTCTCTCTCTACCGCAATCCTCTCTCTCTACCGCAATCCTCTCTCTCTACCGCAATCCTCTCTCTCTACCGCAATCCTCTCTCTCTACCGCAATCCTCTCTCTCTACCGCAATCCTCTCTCTCTACCGCAATCCTCTCTCTCTACCGCAATCCTCTCTCTCTACCGCAATCCTCTCTCTCTACCGCAATCCTCTCTCTCTACCGCAATCCTCTTTCTGAACCCCACAAACACACATTAGGCCCACTCATGGTACCGTTGTCACAACACTGGTTATTTTGGGCTAGCGTTAGCATGGCTACAACACACACGCTCAGATTGGCCAAACTAGAGTACCAGGCCAGCCGGCACAACTGATGCCAAACTAGAGTACCAGGCCAGCCGGCACAACTGATGCCAAACTAGAGTACCAGGCCAGCCGGCACAACTGATGCCAAACTAGAGTACCAGGCCAGCCGGCACAACTGATGCCAAACTAGAGTACCAGGCCAGCCGGCACAACTGATGCCAAACTAGAGTACCAGGCCAGCCGGCACAACTGATGCCAAACTAGAGTACCAGGCCAGCCGGCACAACTGATGCCAAACTAGAGTACCAGGCCAGCCGGCACAACTGATGCCAAACTAGAGTACCAGGCCAGCCGGCACAACTGATGCCAAACTAGAGTACCAGGCCAGCCGGCACAACTGATGCCAAACTAGAGTACCAGGCCAGCCGGCACAACTGATGCCAAACTAGAGTACCAGGCCAGCCGGCACAACTGATGCCAAACTAGAGTACCAGGCCAGCCGGCACAACTGATGCCAAACTAGAGTACCAGGCCAGCCGGCACAACTGATGCCAAACTAGAGTACCAGGCCAGCCGGCACAACTGATGCCAAACTAGAGTACCAGGCCAGCCGGCACAACTGATGCCAAACTAGAGTACCAGGCCAGCCGGCACAACTGATGCCAAACTAGAGTACCAGGCCAGCCGGCACAACTGATGCCAAACTAGAGTACCAGGCCAGCCGGCACAACTGATGCCAAACTAGAGTACCAGGCCAGCCGGCACAACTGATGCCAAACTAGAGTACCAGGCCAGCCGGCACAACTGATGCCAAACTAGAGTACCAGGCCAGCCGGCACAACTGATGCCAAACTAGAGTACCAGGCCAGCCGGCACAACTGATGCCAAACTAGAGTACCAGGCCAGCCGGCACAACTGATGCCAAACTAAGGCCAAAAAGGAGGAATTCCCAGACTTCCCAATCCCAAATCGAGTTCTAGCCTTTACTCCCTAGGAACCTCTCTGGATCTGAAATTTAGATTCAGGAGAGGAAATAAGACAGAAATCGGAACATTCCACTTCCTGGTTGCAAAGGTTATAAGTAGCGAAGTTCACTGCTCCTTTAGCATCTTCACACACACACACACACACACACACACACACACAGTGGAGGTCTGACCTGATTGCTAGAGATCTTCACATGTCCAACAGACCCGAAATTCCAAGATCTGACCCGGGACCTGAGCAGGTCCGGGTCCTTAATTCTGACTTTTGTCTCGGATCTGGGTTGGGTACGATATAATTGGCACGGGTCTCTAGACCCGATTGGACCCATCCTCTGTTAATATAATGTGTGTGAGGTGATGAGAACTGTGCGAGCTTGTTATCCGTGTCAGGCAATAGCAACTCAATTCATATAGTTTATGTCCAGCTGACAGTGGTTCCGGCTGCTCACCTCACATGCGCCTGCTGCTGAGAGAGAGTGAGTGAGAGGAGCCTTGGCCTTGGCTACTGTTGATTGTGAAGATGGAGGCCTTTTTCATTGAAGTAAAACTAAAGTTGAAGGAGAAAGAGTACAGGGAAAAGAAGCCGACAAGGGGAATGTCCTCTGGGACAAGTTTTAAAGATCCACTATGCAGAAATCGCTCCACCAATTCCTGGTTGCTAAAATTGTAATAGTTCCCCTAAATTTAGTTTATGTGACAAAACAAACAAGTATAGAGAATCATTGTACAATCTAAACCGCTGTGAAATATATTTTCCATAAACAAAAATATTGTATTTTCAGCTGTTTGAAGCTGGTGTACCAAACCGAAAGTAAAAGACGCAAAAATGAAACTTAACGGGAAGCATAGAAATAACACACATAGAACAGATCTACCGCTTCTTAGACTTGCTTTCAATGAGAATGACAGATCTATAACTCACATTTCTATGTGAATTTGGTTGGGTCCCAGAAAATGAATTACATATTGCAGCTTTAATATTGTAGTGGGCAAAAATGAGAAGAACGTTGGCACGGCCAAATGAACTGTGTGCAACTCCCTATTCAGGCTTGTTGGATTTCAGATTTATCATAATTTGTTTTTATTATTATTATTATTAGCCTATGTAATAATCTAAACCAGTTCTTTAAATACGCCAAAAAGTTGGCTGAATGAAGTTCTGTCATTTTTATTTTGTGCTCCGTATTTAGTTTAAGGATAAAAGTAGGCCTGTTGTTAAAGAAATAGCATTAGCCTATTGCTGTCATTTGTTGGGTAGGCCTACGGTAGGCACTCACCGTTGTTGGTCATTTCTGCAATATAGGCCTGTTCAAGGTTTGAAGGTCATGGACAGCCAAAATCATGTTTTTCATGAAATTGGATGAAAAACGACTTGCCTCTACACTGATCAAGTTTGATCACAAAGTTACTGGTCCCCTCGCCCATGTCAAACATTTGGATTCATTATTAAAGGGGACAAGGTGACATTACCTTAATGCTCATATTAATACACCAATGGTGACATGACATTCTCTTACCTAAATTAAATAAATACCACCTCGTAACCAATGTTCCCTCTGAACTGCGTGTGCGCAGTAGGCCCGAGACTGCCGAGCAGCTCTCCAATTCAGCTGCCCTGCACATCGGGTAGGCGAACTGTTGTCATTTTGAACCATTGGATGTGATTTCAAAATGTTTAAAACCATGACTAGAGAGACTGTCAACGAATACAGCAAAGAGCTGCTGTTTTGATGAGTGAGTTGATGTTTAAGTTCTTAC